CATCCTGGCCGTCCGTCCCATCCTGAACGCCTTCTGTCATCCCAAACCCTAAACCCCTTCACCCTCCAACATTTGCCCTTCCCCCGTCCCCCACTTCCCACTCCCCCGCTCCCACCACTCACATGCCCCCAGAGTGAATGTCCATGGGGAACCCAACGATATCTGAGGCCATGGCTGAGCACTCAATGTGCCATCCTGGCCGTCCATCGCCCCAAGGCGACGGCCACGATGGCTCGCCGGCCTTGCTGGCCTTCCACAGGGCGAAGTCGCTGCGGTTGCGCTTCTCTGACGTGGCAAAGTCTGATTCGCTCTCTGCTGCCAGCTCAGCACTGCCCACGGACCACGGGCAGAGCTTCCCGTACATGTGGCCTGACTCCCTGTAGTGGGTTGGAGGTGAAGGGAGGGGAAGGAGGGTGGGGGGGAGAGGGGAGAATGGGGGGGAGAGGAGAGGGGAAGGAGACTCTCCTGTTGATGGCAAGCATATGCAAAGACTGTGGAGTCAACTTACAAAACAGGTTATCAATCACACATACGCACACATGTCGCCTCCATCTAGTGAACTTACGTAAACGCCTTGGTGTCGACGTAGACACTCTCGTCTCGTTGATGGCATGATGCAAGGATTTTGAAGTCAAGTAACAAAACAGGCAATAATGCACACATACGCACACGTCACGCCGCCATGACCTGGTGAACTCACTTGAAGGCCTTGGCGTCAAAGTGGACACTCCCGTTGATGGCATACACACAGAATCTGGAACCAACTCGCAAAACGAGGCTACAATTCACACATACACACACATGTCACCTCTTCGCCACCGAGCGAACTCACTTGAAGGCCTTGGTGTCAAAGTAGACGCTGCCATTGGTGGCATACGCACAGCCATTCTTAATGATCGTGTCCACATAGTTCACAATAGCGTCGATGTACCTGGATGGAAGGGGGAAGTATGAAGAGAGGGGAGGGAAAGGGGGGAAAGAGGACGCGGGGGATGAACAGACAGGGCAGACGGGCAGCAACGGGAAAGTGACTTTGAGCCGGCTTAGTATTCGGCCAGGGGGAGGACAAGAAGAGGGGTTTGAGGGCCGTTGCAGGATGAGTGCGCTGTGAGGGCGGCAGCAAGAGGCGACTTAACCAAACAGATTGCCTGTCTTGTTGTGATTGGCATGAACTTATTCTGAAAGAAACTGTCACGCCAGTGATCTTAATTTGTTCAAATAATATGTAATCCAGCACATATTCGTGTCATCTCCGCACATACTCGTGTCATCTCAGGCTCAGCACGTACTCGTGTCATCTCAGGCTCAGCACATACTCGTGCCATCTCAGCACGTACTCGTGCCATCTCAGCACGTACTCTGTGACACGTGTCAGCACGTGAGGTGGCCGCACTCCAAGCGCCTTCATATCTTCAAAGAACTCCACTTCGTACCTGTTAACAAGGGTTTTGGGTACAGACGTGAAAAAAATCAGAATGGGACGATTTACAAATGAAGTGACAGCAATGGGACGGAAAGCAACAGGATACTTCTTCACTCACTCATTCACTCACTCACTCACTCGCTCACTCACTCACTCACTCACTCACTCGCTCACTCACTCACTCACTCACTTGGCAGCCAGGCGTCTGAAGATGGAGACATCAGTGACAGTCGCCTTCAGCTTCGCATCCAACGACGCTGCCAGTGCATCTGCTGCCGCCTCTGCTGCTATTTTGTCACCTTCTGCTGCTTCACCTGCTGCTGCTGCTGCGTCCCCATCTGCTGCTGCTGCGTCCCCATCTGCTGCTGCTGCGTCCCGATCTGCTGCTGCCCCAGCCCCATCGGCTGCTGTGCCATTAACTCGTGCCTCGTCACCCACAGCCCCCCCCTCCTTCGCCTCCACCTCCTCGCCCCGCCGTCCCAGCACAAGAGACACACCTCGCCGCCCGCCAGCCGCCACGCACGCTGGGCCCAGCCGCTCCAAGACGGCCTTCGCCGCCCCTTCCAGCTGCTGCAGTTTCAGCTCCTCCTGTGCGGCCTGCTGCAGCAGCGTCTCTTTCTTCTTCTCGTTGCTCTCCCCCTCAGCTGTCGACTTCAACCCCTCTACCACACCCCGTTGCTTCTCCACTGCTGTTGAGAGGGCTGCTTGCGTGTCTGCCAAGACCTGGACTTGGGAAGGGGAGAGGTAAGGGTGGAGGGAGGACGATGGAGGAAAGGATTCTCGAGTCGATTGGGAAAGAAAGGTAAAGATTGATACAAAAAGAGGTCGAGTTGAGAAAAATGGACATGACTGTCAAAATAGCCTATCTGAACGACATCCGGCGTGGCAAGGTAGCTCACCTGGGCGGCATCTGACGTGGCGTGGAGGTACTGCTTGATGAGGTAATCCCTCCTGGCCCTTACGATGATCTTATCGTCCACGTCAGTCACGTTCATCACATAGAACACGTCATACCCGAAATAGTCCTGTTCGGTACAAGACACACGAAGATAGCAGAGAAGCACAAAGAGGCTGAAATTAACGGAACGATCACCTCGCAGACAAGAAAAGCGTGTGACTGTAAGGAACTAAAGTCACCTCAAGAATGCGGCGGATAATATCGAAGGAGAGATACGTTCGCGCGTGGCCGATGTGCGACGAGTCGTACACTGTAGGACCGCAGATGTACCACGTGACTGTAACGAGAGGATGGGGGCGGAAATATTCAAAAGACCAATCCGGAGAATTGGAGGGTTTACTTGCACGGATTACCAATAAACGCCACGACGATTGCAAATGTCCGATGCGACGACCTATTCAATCCAGTCAACGATCTCGATTCGCGTTTTCGACGGACCCACTAACTCCCAACATGCCTTTCGTAAATGCTAGATCGTCTGGTTTCGCAATGGCGGTCGGACCTACCTCGTCGTCCGTTTTGCGGAACGAACGGCACTTTCTCGTTGCACAGGCTGTTATTCACACGCAGACCACCACCAGTACTACCGCCGCTACTCCCTCCCGCCTTCCCGTCAGCGCCACCTCCCGGAGGAGTCCATCGCGCGCCGAGCTGACCTGGCGCCGCCTCTGACGCCATCGCGAGTGTTCCCGCGATGCTGCGTTGACAGGATCTGAGCTACTCGGTCACGCACACTAGTAGAAAGAAATCGGTGGTGGGTCAACCTTGGAAGTGCCTACCAAGGCGAGCAATGGAGTATGAGGTTCCTCGAGAAATGGGATGTATGAAAGAGTTCAGCATAGGACTTGTGGTTACACTTTGGACCTTTCGAAGTTCGAGGCTGTTATGCTTTCGCAAAAGCAGATTGCGAATGACCTAAGGCGTTTCTCGCACCGTGGTTGGTTGGGTGGCTTAACGAGAAAGCCTGCAAAGCTGGCAGTGACCGTTGGGAGTCTGTCGTGTTTTGCCACCAGATTCTAGTACAGTAACAGTTTAAGCAAAACTGGACTTGAAAGTCAGTACTCTTAAGTGCGCTCGTCGGTTATCGTAAGTGTGGGTTAAAAAAATACTTTTGGGCAGGAACATGATCTCTTTTCGCACAACTGATTGAGAAACAAACATGACCCTGGATGTTGACACGAGCCAGGAACGCACCCTTACCTACGCCCTCCTTCACTTTTGACAGCGCCTGCATAGAGGATGCGCTCAATCCTGGCTCGTGTCAAACTTTCAGAGGGCGTTCCTGGCGATGGCCTGGACACTAGCTGCTCCAATGACGTGTAAGAGTAGCCTTGTGACGTTGGCAACAGGTGTACATCTGCACCCGCGCACCAATGAATTTCCTGCGCGAACAAACGTCTGCGACATGTTCGTCGTTGAACAAGCCAGGGGACGCACCCTCGAAAATATTCTTTGCGGAATTGACAATCCTCGCACGAATGGGGTTTGCAGTGCCAAATTCCCTACCAACACAAACACCCGCTACTTCAATGCAGCCATCCCTGTGGTTTGGCTTTTTTCCTATGCCCCAAATGGTTTTGGCCCTCATTCTGGTGTCAATAACAGCGCCATTACAGTTGCACGTTGAGTCAACTACACTACTGAACATCAGTCGTGCGAAAACGTCGCACGGAGGTCGGTGGGCTGCCTCGTTGAAGGCACGTGGCCCCAACGCTCAGATGTCCAGACGTTAGGCGTTTGGCCATCCCCAGGAATGCCCAGTCTTCCTGGCTGAAGATCCCAGCGGAATCAGGTCGACGGACCCGAGTTGCCAGGGTCGACGAGGGGGGTCGACGGACAGGGGTCTGACGAGGCGGGCGAGTGACGCGCGTGCGGGCCCGCCAGCCTGGCCCTGGGCTGGGCCGGGCGCACGACCGCCGCCCCGCAACCCCCCCCCCCCCGAGAGTGAACAGCGACCCACGTTACCGGGTGGGGGCGGCGAGCTGGCGAGACCTCGGGCGAGGGGAAGTAACCCTGCCGCGAAGGCAGCCCACCCCTCCCTCGTGCCCGCGAGGCCCTAGTAACCCATCGCGGCCTGCCCGTACGGGCAGGCGAGGTCCACGCGAAAATCGGGGGCTCCCCTCGGGTCGCTCGACTATTTCGCGACCCGTTGCGGTGACGCCACGTGCTCGCCCGTCATTTCGCATCGCGTGCATGAGACATTTCGTACCCCCCGAAACTCGAGCGAAAACCTGGGTCGTTCGCCACGGGGCGCACGGCTTTCGCGACCCTCTGCGAAATCGACACGTGGTGCCGAAACGTCGCACCGCGCCCACGCGAAGTTGCGTCCCCTGGCCGACCGAGGCCGGGGCACGTGACGTCGACCTGTTGGCTCGGCGGCGAGGGTGCACTTGTGCCACGCAACTTGTGCACGAGCCCTGCCGAGCGAGGCATCACGGCCCCCTGGGCGACGCTCAACCGGGCCTGCGTGGCTCCGCCTGGCTTTTCTTCTTTGGAGGTGGACTGGCCCCTCATTTTCGCGTTCTCGTTTCTCTTTCATTTTTCCTCCCACCTCGGCGCCTTCCATACTCCCACCGCTTCTTCCCTTAGCCTGTAGCATAGCATCCTCGCTCTCCCGCCATGGCAGCCGGCCAGAAAGCCGCCGAAGCGGCGCCGACCTCGCTAGATTTCCCCCTGCATCTAGACATCGGTAGAGGACACACGGCCAAGTTCGAAGAGCACGACTACGCCGTTCTGACAAACCCTATGATAGAGTTTAACGCCCGTTGCTTGGGACTCGGTCTCAAGTGAGTGTCTTATTGAGATGTCGTCGTCGACGGGCCTATTCCATGCTGGTCGGCCATGGCGGGGTTTCAATGCGTCCAGTAGTATATGTCGACGGGCTTAGAGTTCAGGCACATCACATCGGTGATGCCGACGTAATGCGTTAGGTCGTCGACGACGCTGAGTTGTGCCGAAGTCGTTCGGCTCCCGTCATTCCACCATCGTGCCGCGCACCTATACCTCTCTAATCTGTTGTAATCATGCATGCGTGCAGGCACGCATGGATCCGCTCAACGGATGCAGGCGAGCGATTGTGGTCGATAGGAGTCGGCCGGCTTCGGGCGGCGATGGGTCAGGACGACCACACATGCTTTGCGACGATTTTCGACGCCGACGTGGCGGTTATCCCACTGATATCGAGGTGAGCAGGTTCGAGGTCCTGCTGTGTGCTGCAACCTGTGTCGGTGATTTGTTCTGAGCGCCATCGACGTGCCTTGTCTGTGCAGCATCGCACCGCTTCCGGGAGCACATTGCAGCGTCGTTCTCATCCTGTGCCCCGGCGATTTGTTCAATGCCTCGGGGCAGGAGGTCAGGACCTCGATCCGGCACGCCGACCCGCAGACAGTGAAGGAGTGGCACCGCGACGAGGCGATCCGCGTGCTGAAGTGAGCTCGATAGTTTAGTCGACATCGCATACATTGTCGACACGACGCGTGCACCGTGCTAACCGACCGTCCTTGCCGTGCTTTTGCAGGTTTTTCCGGACCGCTGTTCTGGCCGAGCTGCGGCGCGAGGGTAGGAAATGGGAGTGGGCGAAGCCGTCCGAAGACGAGGTGCAGGAGAGGCTCGCCGACTGCGACGAACCCCTTCGAGATGTGAGTTCCGGACGATTCGCCGTCATATGGTGTCACATCTACGCCGCCCTCATCCTTGCTCTCTGCACTGTTGTATGCAGAAAATTCCCGATACCGTCCGGGACTCGGACGCGGGCTCCGGCCTGCTAGCAATGAGCGCGTTGATCTGGGTTGTGAGGCGGTTCCAGCGCCTGACCGGCGACCTCCGTCGCATTGCCACCAGCATGGACAAGCCCACCGTCTCGGGGTTGAAGGCGCTGCGGAACGAGATGGTAGCCCTCATCAAGAAGCAAGTCCCGCTCATACGGTCGGGGAAAACCGTTGTTGCTGCCGACGCCTGTGACGACGACGGCGAGGAAGTCCATTCTGCATCCGTACCAGTAGGGGTCGCCCCGAACGTCGCTGATGCGCGTGGCAAGTCGGGAGTCGGCGTCGACGAGGCCGATGCGGCCGCAGGAAATAGGGTGACCGGGACCGAGGTTGTTCACGGGGATGATGATGGGGTCCAGGATCGCGAGGAGGAACGTGAGGGTGAGGGGGGCTCGGAGGAGTCGTCGGGGTCGATGTCGGGGTCGAGGTCGGGGTCGGGATCGGGCTCGGAGTCGGAGTCGGAGGAGGAGCAGGAGCAGGAGACGCAGGAGCACGAGAGGCAGCACCAGGAGGAGCAGTTGGTAGAGGTGGAGGACGTGGAAATGGCGGAGGGGTACGTTGTCGGAGGAGCGGAGGGGTACGTTGTCGGAGGAGCGGAGGAAACGGGTGGGAGATCGGCGGATGTCGAGAACGACGAAGGGGAGGGGAAGGGTGCGACAGCGAATATCGGCGAGGTCGGCGTGGAGGCGGCTCACGGAGGTGGTGGCATGGTCGAGGTCGGTGAAGGGGATAACGCCGCGGTCCCGGAGCAGAGGGGCGTGGATGTGCATACCGATGCCACCGCGGAGAAGGCCGGCGGGGAGCGGTCTAGGAGGAAGAAGGCGGCGAGCGGTCATCCCGGTTCCACCGCGGCTGGGCGGCAGGCGCGGCTGGACGTCGTCGATCAGCTGAGGGCGGAGAACAGGCGATTGCGTGCAGACAATGCACTCCTTGAACGGCGGCTCGGTGAGCAGACGGGGCGGGTCGACAGCTTGGCGGCGGCATTAGCTGGGCTCCTCGAGAAGTTGAAGGGTTTGACCGCCCAGGTCGCCGACACCGACCGGAAATCGGAGGAGCGCCTCAAAGAGGCCACGTCGACCATGGCGACCACAATCACCGAGGGCCTCACCGACAACATGGACAGCGCCATTCAATCGGCCAAGTCCTTCGCCGAGCTAGCGAGGCAGACGCTGCTGGATCTTGACGACCCCAAGGGACGAGCGGCGGTCGCACGTGCGACCGCGGTGAAGACAGTGACCGAGCACGTGACGGCGGAGGTGGGCGAGGCGAGGAAGGGGTTGGAGGAGTCGTTCATCAAATACATCGGCGCCGCGCAGACCAACATTGCCGCCGCCGTCGCGCCCCGCCTAGTCCAGCCGCCGCCGCCTACCGGCCCAGCGCAGGCCTTGCCGGAAGATTTCCTGAAGTCTTTCAAGGAGGACGTGCTGAAGGCGGTGACGGAGACCACGCAGCAGTCCTTCCTCGCCTCCGGACTGAAGATAATGGCCGAGGTCGTCGGCACGGTGGCGTATGCTCGGCGTGGGTCGTCGCCGTCGGCAAACGACGCCGGCCAAGCGCAACCTACGGAGGGCTTGAAGCTGGGTCACAAGAGGCGGGGAGGCGGCGGGGGGGGCGACGGGGACAATTCGGCGAACACGAAGCGGAGCAAGGGAGGCGGGGGGTCTGGCGGCGGGGGGGGGGGGACGGAGACGATTCGGCGGGCGCGAGGCGGACCAAGGGAGCGGCTGGTTCTCGCGTCGCCGGCGATGGGAGCATGGGAGCCGGCGACGGCAGTTCGTTGAAGCAGTCGGGGAAGAGCGTGGTCGACATCCTCAGGAAGCACTGGGCTCAGGTTGGAGCGGCCAGCACGGGCCATGGTGGTGGGGGTCCCGCCGACGAGCATGCCACTGATGACGCACTGCCAATGGCTCCGCCTTCGGTCGGCGTTAAGCCACCACGACAGGGTAGCGGTGTGAAAGGCCTGCGCGACAAGGAGAAGGCCGCCGCCAAAACGGCCCCAGGCGGGTCCGCGAAAGCTGGCCAGGGCCCGAAGACAGGGGTTGCGGAGGCGTCAGCGGTTCCTCACCAGTCTCCCGCGGGTGCACGCCATCCGACCGGACCGTCTGCCGGGCGACCTACCGACGTCCCGCGCCATGCCGACGTACCGTCTGCCGACAAGGTTGGCCGCGCGGGAAAAGGGGCGGCAGTTGCGGACGCGCTCAAGGAGCAGCTCAGGCTCCTAGCCGGCCACAGGGCTGTTCAACAGGCCCCCCCTGCTGTCGACGTCCCATCGGCCAGTGGGCCACGTGTAGTGCCGGTCGTCGCCGCCCGTACTCCTGCAGACCCAAAGTCCGTGTTGTTGCGCGCCCAGCTGGGCGCACTAGCGTCGACTGAGAGGACTCAGCAGGCTTCTGGCTCTGGCTCTAAGCCGTCGTCGGCGAATGTCGCACCACCCACCCATGTGGCAGCTGATGTGGAGAAGGCGGCGGAGAAGGGCGTTCGTGCCGCGCTTGCCACCGGCGGCGGCGCCGTTGAGGAGGTCCCCGCAGACGCTGATATCGCTGCCATACAGGCCCATCTGGATGCAGCCAATCCCCGAACCCTGGCCATCTCCGACACGGAACATGTGGAGCCTTCGGCGGGACTCGTCGGCATCGCGGCAGAGCCTAGTGCGACCGGTGATGCGGTCGGTGAGGGAAAGTCGAAACGGAAGGGGAAGGCGGGCTCACAGAGGAAGACGCGGGAGAAGTCGGAGGTGAAGGCGGCGGATAAACAGAAGGGGATGGCGGCGGAGACGGCGGCGGACAAAGATCGAGGCGGCATTGGGGAGGTTGAAGGGAAAGGGGAGAATCAGAAGTCGCCCGGCGAGGGTACGTCGACGGGGAGGAAGGGGAAGGACAAGTCGGTCGGAGAAGGTGCGTCGACCGGGAGAAAGGGGAAGGAGAAGGCGGTCGGCGAGGGTTCCTCGAAGGGGAGAAAGGGAAAGAGGAAGGCGGAGGAGGAGGATGAGGATGTCGAGGAGGTGGAGGAGGTCGAGCAGGAGGAAGAGGAGGAGGAGGAGGAGGAGGAGGAGGAGGAGGAGGAGGAGGAGGAGGAGGGGAAGGGCAAGGAGAGGAGGGGTCATGGCATCCGACACGATACCTCGGGCGACAAGCAAGGGTGGGTCGGCGAGATTAAGGTGCACGGCATCAATCGATACATCGGCAAGTCGCGGGACAAGATGGAGCTCGCGTATGTTCACTCCATCGCGTACGTCGTCTACGACGGTTTCGTGAGCAAGGTGCTCATGACCGAGCTCACCGGCTTGGACAGCGCCGAATTGGAGAGGTGGAAGGAGGTGTGGGAGGAGGTCAGGATCTTGCCGACAGGGATGTGGACGGTGATGTGGGCCCGGGGTACGCTCCTTCCAAAGACACGGTAAGTCGGCAATCCTCCGATTCAAAGTCGATGTCGTTGTCGTTGTCACTCATGTTCGCCCTGTTTGTGGTGGCGTGACAGGCTGACGGAGATCCTCGACGCGTATCGCCATTACAAGTCCACAGGCGATTGTCTCCACGCCGCGCTCCTGCCAGCGATATGGTACCCAGTCGATGCTAGCACCGAGGAAGGCCGGGAGAAGTCGGCGTCCATGATGTCGGCGATGATAGGCCGCGTGTCAATGTGCGCTGCATATGGGAAGACCGCTGCGGCAGCGGCGAAGAAGGAGGGAGACAAGGAGGAGAAGACGGATATGGCGGCATGAGCGTTAGCAGCATCCGCATGCGCTGTGTGGTGCTTCGTCGAGAACGGCGATGCCCAGCTGGCGGATGCTGTGGAAGAAGGGAAGTCGGCGGCGATCATCGGCGGAGCGAGCCAGGCGACCGCCGATGTATTCGGAAAAGTCATGGAGGCGGTGCTGAAAGCCGAGATGAACAGGGACCGCCCCCTGGGAGAGGTTGCCTACAACGTCGCGCCAGCACTCCAGAGGACCGCCCTTGATAGGGTCTATCCGGGGGGGAATGCTGGAGTAGATGCCGACGTTATCGCTAGAGCAACGGTTGAGACGATGGCGTTTTGGGGAATGTGCCCCATCGCCGGGCCGAAACTAAGAGCGAGGGACATCGCGGTGCCGATTGACGCGCAGATGAAGGCCGATCTTGACAACAGGGGGAGGAAGGGTCTGAGGGGCAAGAAGGGGACGAAGACCAAGGGCGGCACGGAGAAGGTCAAGAAGTCGAAGAAGGACAGCACGACGGCCTAGTCGACGGCATGCTAAGATTGAGTGCTGCGTGGACTCGATGATGAAATGGTCGATACCGTTTTCCTTGTTTTGGCTGTCGGATCCCTTTGATGCTCTTTCTTTGTGCGTGCCTGTCTACTTTACGTAGGATGAGTAATGAACACATTAGCTAGTAATGATTGTCTACTTCAGTTTGAACGACACGTGAATGCCCCGCTAGGCCGAGAACAACAGGATCATTGAGAGAAACAAAAAGTCGACATCAGTATCAGTATGAAACATAGGCATGCTGCATCAACATCTACAACATGCAACAGGCCACAGTAGCAGGAGGCCTGGGAACATTCAAGCGGTTTTCTTGCGCTTGGTCGACTTATTGGTCGGAGGCAGCTGCCCGGCGTCGTTTTCGCGGGCCAGGTCGGCCAACGTCTTCTTCATCTGCTCAACCCAGGTGTCCGGGAACAGGTCGGCGACCCACGTTTCGGGCTTGAGCCCGCGCGCCACGAACGCACAGGCGACACGAAGCTTGGAAAATTCCGTCTTGCCGAGCCCTTTGACGCCCTTACCCTGCCCAGCATAGGTCGCTACGGCGTCCGCGTTGAGCACCGTGAGGGCATCCGCGAAGGTCCCAATGCCAGGCGTCGCTATCTTGTTAAGCGCGTCGACGGTGGCTTCCGTGTCGGCTTCGCCGTCGCTCCTGCGAAGCTGGCGCACCGCATCGATGACCTTCATCATGCGGCGCACCCTCTTCCCGTGTGCTCCCTGCGAGGCTCCGTCGAGGAGGGTGTGGCGGTCGACGAATCCCGGCTCCCTGAACCTGTCGCACAGACGACGGGTGTCGGCGCTGGTGCACGAGGTCCAGAGGCGCCACGCGTCCTTGACGGTCGTTGCAGTCCGCCAAGGCTGCACTACGTTCAGCTCGTAGCTAGCCTCCTTGACCGTCTGTGGGGGTTTATTGGGTTTGTTGGCTCCTCCACCCCTGCTTGCCGACTCCGCGGAGCCACCGTCGCTCGGCGACTGGTCGTTAGCAGCTGGCGGCGCCTCCGGCATCCTTCGAGCTTCTGAAACGCGGAGAGCCTCGGTGAGGCGTGTTATCTCGCCCGCGAGCGACGCGATGGTTGCGTCGCGATTCTCGATCTTCTCCTCGAGGTCGAGCTTCTGGACCGTTGACCGCTCCCTCTCGAGCTTAAGCGTCTCCGTGAGGGAGACGACCGCGAACTGGGCGTCATGGCGGACCGATATCTCCTGCAATGGTATGCGAATAACGGTGCAGATGAGGGGTTGTAGCGGTCATAGATAACATCGCGACGTCGGCATAAAAGATGACCTACCTCTGGCTGGATGAGGGTTGGATCTTGCCGCTTTTTTATGGTGTCGGTGTCGGTCTTCTCGACCCTCTTCGCCCAGTGCTGGAAGAGGGGAATCCGGCAGAGCTTGGAATACTGGATGTACGGGTGCCAAGGGGTGCGGACGAGTTTCACCGCGAGGTCCTCGGCGACAATGCGGCGGAACATCAGAAGGGTGCGCCAGAAATGCACGGCCGCAACGTCGGCGTCGGACCCCTTCTTCGCGAGTTCTTCTGCCTGCAGTTAGACATCAGACGGGGGTTATCTCCATGGTGGATAGGACAGTACCATGCAAGATTGGTCGGCACCGATAAACAAACCTTGTTGAGGAGGTCGTCGACGTCGGGGAAGATGTGCTCGGCGATGAGAGCGAGGAGTTCGTCTCCCGGTTCCACCCTACTGCGACCCAAGAAGTAGTCCTGCGTGAATCCCGAATAGCCGGCCTTCTTCATCACCACGCCGACGGGAATGGACGTGATGTAGGCTCGAGTCATCTTGTCGAGAGCCCAGTGACCCAGCTCGGCTATCTCGGCGCGAGGCGTACCTTGGATGGCCAACTCCTGCGCCCCGCCCGCCCGAGCGGCATGGACGTTCCGCTTGCAGAACACCCCGTTCGTCTTCCACATCTGCCTCGTCCATCGCTGGTGGCTGGGAGCTGAGAGTTCGCCCTGCTCGGGGTCGTTGCGGGCGAAGAACAGGTGCTTCTTGTACCAGAGCTCGCGTGTGCTGGTGTCGACCGGCGGAATGAGGTCGACTCCGTGAAACTGGCCGATCTGGTCGAGGACGAAGTGTAACCACAGCCCGGTCTCGCCGACGGCGCACAACTCCGCTTCTAGGTGCCGCGCCGCGTAGCTCTGTTGAAGACGCGCATCCTTCGACGTCTTCGAGTTCCGCGCGGCGACCACCATGACGACCGGCTGGTTATCCGGGTTCACCGACGAGGTGCTCGCCAGTCGGTACAGGAAGATGTCGGGGAGCGTTATCTCGCGTATGCTTGCACCGCGCATGAGGCTGTGGTGGGAGAGCAGCGTGAGCACCTTGATGAGAAGAAACCTCCACAGCGTCTGCGAAGGTGTGGTGAAATGCGGGCTCCATGCCGACGCCGCCCAAGCCGGCAGCACCCTCGTCATTATCTGGCGGAACTGTTCGGCGGTGTATGTGTCGCCGATGGTGCCGCGTCGACGGTCGGCGCATTTACTGTCGACATAACAATATATGGATATGAATATTAGGGCGAGGAAACAAATCGATGGCGACATAACACGGCGATGCATGCCAACTTACTCGAGGTCCCTCTGATTTTTCGTGCGGACCATGACCCGCACCTCCGACCGGACCACCGAGATTTCCCGCATGATGCCCAACTCCTTCTCCTTGAAGAGCGTCGCCTCCACCCTCGCCGCCATCTGGCAGGCCTTGATGCGGCCGAGGATCATGTGCACCGTGTAGGCTCGCACTGGCTCGTTCGTGTCGGCGTCGATCCTGTACTCCCGCCTCATGAACTTGATGTAGGCGCGCAGTCGCGTACTAGTGACCCGGGGGCCGTGCAGCCATATGTGCTTCCGCTTGACCACCTTCTCGTTGTCCCAATCCTTGCTCTTGTTGTTGTGTGTCCAGTGCCCTATCTCGTCGACGTGCCTCATTTGTTCTGCTGTCGGCAGTTTGTCGCCAATTTTTTTAAGCATCTTCGCCGTCCACCTTTTGTAGTCGTATATCCATGAGGTGTAGGACTTGAGCGTGCTCTTGGCCTCTATGGTTTTCAGGTGGCGCATTCCCTCCATCACGAGCACGTCGACGCACGCGTACACCATATCTTCCTCTACGAAGTCGGCCGCCTTCCACATTTCTCGAGGGACCGACGTGTGCAGCAGATCCTCAAGCTCGTTCTCGTCCAACAGTTCCTCTATGAACGCACGTTCCCCCCTGAGTTTTTCTTCCAACGTGCGCGGACCTGCACCACGTCGGGGCCGCGGGTCGTCTTCGTCGTCCTCGTCGCTCGCCGATGAATAATCGTCCTCATCCTGGTCGCCCGATCCGTCCGGCACAGACGACGGCCCGGCCTCCCCTGCATCCGTCGGCGTCGACGTTTTGCGTGGTTTCGTGAACTCCCCTATCGGCGCGGGCGGAACGTCCTTGGTGAACTCTCCCTGCGGGATTTGGGCCGGGGCGTCGAGATCGTAAAGCAGCGGCAAAGTCGACGAGGGGTTACTGGTCGGTGTACGGTCTACCGGGCGGACGTCCTCACCCTGGCTAGCGGGGTTCATGACGTCCGTCATGTCGACATCGGCGGGGGGTGGGTTGGTTTGCGGCGGTGTCGAACGAGGCTGTCCTTTGGCCATGATACCGCGACCTAGGGCGATAGGAAGTCGGCGTGGTGAGGTCGATAAACTACTTAATGCGTATTCTATGTCGGCGGTATCTGGCAGGTCGGGACAGCAGACAATCCTACGAGAGGTCGGCGACCACGTCTGCCTACTATCACGACGCCGACGTTACGCCTCTAGAGAAAATCAAAGTGCCGGCCGTCAAGTCAGTGGTAAAAAAAAAAAGCAATGGCACACACAATGGCAGGCGGAATGAGCGACCATTTCGGGGACCACGGATGGGGATGGTCGTGAGCGACTCCGCACCACTTGGCGCTCCACGCAAACCCCAGTGCACGACGCCGCCATGCATGTACGCTCGTGCGGCGGCGCCGTGTCCGACGTGCCACCAGGCGTGCATGGCTGCTTGCTTGAAGCGCTTCGCTCATCATGCTCTTTTCGTGGCTGCTACACGCTGGCTCTTTCGTGCGGCAACGTGGCGTGGTCCCGAATTAGGTGCACCTCAGTAGGTCGAGGTCGGGAGACACTGCCGTGTGGCACCACGATGATGCTCTTCTGGTCGACGCCGACAGGTCCCGCATCATCAGTGTCCACTGCACGTAGCCATAGATAGTGGACGGCCGGATTTCTCCTTGCGCATGTGAGCAACCGTTGGATGAATGCCGTGTGGTATGCACCGACATTGCCACGTTCATGCGCGAGATTCTCCCAAGCGAAGCACCCCGACCTTCCGTTGGCCCGTCGTGTCCAACCTGGCAGACCTAGGTGGCCCCGCCATCCAGGGGACTATCTCGGGCGTCCCTTTGTGGCCGCGTGGCGATCATCGCGGCCCAACTTGCCGAGCTGGTATTCT